CTTTTTTCCTTTGATTTTATTTTTCACCTCTTTCCTGGAGACAAAAAAAACGCATCTGGAGATCAGATACAATAAGAACTTGAAGCAATTTCATGGGAATGGGTTGAAGATGTGCTCAAGGGAAGAGGAATGGCCAAAACTCTGAATGAGCGATTTGGTGGGAGGTGGGGTGTGTGTGTGGTGGGATTAACTTTGGTACAGATTGTCAAATCCACTTCAATTGTATAGTATTTATACACAATAAGAGGGTCCCTTTTTTTGCAGAAAATAAATCCCCCAAACCTGCTTTTTTTAAAAATTTCTTTGCCATTTAAATCTGCATAATTACACCTAAACCATACAATGGTGGTACAGCTGGCATTTATATAGAAATAATTATAAGATTAAAATTTAACCAACCATGAGTTTTTTGTGTATTTCTTCCTCTCGCATTTTCCATCTACTCCTCTGCCCAAACAGGTTTTGGTTTATATATTTTTTAAATTCATAATTTGGCTTTTAAAGGAAAGGGTGCTGCTTGATGCCACGGGTGACCCATATTTGTGCTTGAAAATCTGTGTGCTGTTAACAAATAGTTTTAAATATCCTCTGGCTATATTTGTAAACTGCAATATGAAGGATATGTTTCTTAACCTTTGTAGAACTAGTAGTAATGATGCTTTTCTGTGTGTTGCTTAGGTAACATGGGACACTTAAGCTGAAAAGACCGGACATGATGCACTAGTCGCATTAATAATCAATTAATCATGATGCAGGAAAGAATATTTTCTATAGCACATAAAAGGGGGAAAGAAAAGTATTTATAATCTAATAGTCATCATTTGACTGAAGTTGAATAATCCAGCGTGATTCAAATGAGGCTGTGTGTTGGCAATTTGCAGTATGGGAGTGGAAATAAGTAATTTTAAGACGATGCTGTTAAAGCTATACAGCTGCTTTAAGTATTTTTTCTCTCTTTGTGGTGTGTTAATGATGTTACTTGTGAGATGTGTGCAATTTTGACAAAAAATGGCATTTCTTGGTTTCTATCTCTGGGCCTTGATGCAAAAGAAGATGATCATTTTCAATGCAATTCAGAGTAATACAAAGCCATTGATTTTAAAGTGTATTGCAGTCTATTGGGATGACTTCCTAATTGACACAAACAATGGTTTCTTTGGTAGATAGAAACATGTTTTATAAGGCACAGCCCTAATTCAATTTGTTCCCTGCCCTTCTAAAACTTCTGGAGTATTCTAATCCATGACTTTTGCTTTCATTAGTGACTTTGTATTCTTTGTGCAGATATTTGAGCACAACAAGCATACGCATTTTTTATACAATTACTTTGTGCTTATGTACACAGAAGCATATTAATACATGTATGCAATTTAATATTACGGTGGTTCTATCTTCCACTTTGTTACCATGGCATCCTCTTAGATGTCAATTTGGCACAAAAAAGTGTAGTATAAAATACATGTTGATGATATTGGCTGGAAGAGGTGGTTTTGCAGGTGTCAGCCTGACTCATTTGGTTGCACTCTCGTCTCTGAGTTAGAAGGATGTGGGGTTTAGCTCCTCAGTGAGCCTTGGAACTGATACTGTACTGCGACACTCCAATGCAATGTTGGAGGTGGTTTCCTCCAGATGAGACTTTAGACCAAGGTCCCATCTGCCAGTTCAGGTGGACGATAAAAATCCTATGGCACTATTCAAAAAGAGAAGGGAGTTACTCCTGGCCATCATTGTCTTGTACCATAATGCATCTTTGGATCCTTGGAAATACCTTACTAGTATATTTAAAAATAAAATCATCAGCACTTACTGAGAGTATGGTGTACAACATTCCATACCTGTGCCAGGGAGAATGCAGTTTGCTCTCTCTCTCTTTCTCTCAATATATATATATATATATAATGGGGTGAATGCAGAGCTGGGGCATGCAGCATTGGCATTCAAACAGACAGAATGGACTATATAAATGTGGGATTAGAATTTATTATATGTAGTGTAATCCATGTGAAAGTCCATATTCTGGTTCATGTGGAAAACTTTTTTGCACAAATTTTAGATCCCCTTTACTTATGAAAATGAATCAGTCTTTTTCATTGGTGTTAAACCAGTCATTTTTATTTGTGAATTACATAATCAGACACTCTGTTCACATGTATGCAATACAGCAGTGTTTATACATGGGACATAATGAACTGCTGTAACAAAGTAAGCGGGCAGTGTGAGTGTAGAGTGAAGAGGTGGCCCTTGGTTAAATCCTTATTTTGTAATCGAAATTCCTTGGGAAATCCTCCTGATATGGAATGCGCTATAGAATTGTAATCTGTTGTTGTTGAAGGAGACATCAAAACACGTCGCTAACAGCATGGTGTGTGAGGATGTAAAATGTATAACTGGATAGTAAAACCATTTGCCTGATGGTGGATGATTTTTCTAGTCTTGGTAATGAACCTTCGTTACTCACTGACCTAATCGTGAGCAAATTACGCTGGGAATTGGATTAATTATAATACTCCTTTGTAAATAACCATTATTTGCAAATAATAGGTTTGCTATTATGTGCTTCTAATTTACATTAAAATGTGAAGAAAACATTTTCAAGATGCAAGCCCGTCAGCAACTATTCTTTGTATGCAATTCCGTTTCCGAGTAAGTAAGCTCATCGGTATTTTAAATACTTGGTGTGGCATTCCAGACTGATTTGTTATTATTCTTCATGGTCCCAGGTTGTATTTAATCCACCAACACAACCGTGACATTGGTTCAGCTAAGCTTATCAATTTTTAGTCGTGTTTATTTTCGCTGCCTTACACTACTACAAAAAACCTCTGTTGTAAGCCTTTCAATATCGTGTTGCCTTTCTTGGATAATAGGTTTACTGTGAATCCACACTAACCAGAAACACCTGGTTTCTAGCACTGACTAGCTGGCTTCCCAAACTAAAAAAAAGGCAGATTTCACGTCTGTTAACATCACAACTTGTGCACTAAGCGCAGGAAGCACCAGTAATGTCACTTCCTGTGCACCGCTTGCCATGTGCAGGAAGTGCTTGGGACGTCCTCCCAATGTGAAAGGCGCTATACAAATGTAATTTTGTTGTTGTTGTTGATGGCATTTCATGATATAGTGCACGGGTGACAAGAAGTGATGCTAATGGCAACCTGACAACCTAGAAGTGGCCATTTTTCCATGCTTTGTTTATAAGTGAGATTGTACCCAGCTGACCATGTTATCATGAGGTTTCCCAGTATTGTTATTAACCATAGCAGTAATTTCCTTCCCTTCTCCCCACACTCATCCTTTATTGTTGGGATATTGATGGCATAAAAAATAGCACCATTGAGGATCACATAATTAGATTACTAAAGGCAAATTGTGAAATTAATTAAAATACTGTTCAATTTAACGCCATAGAAGCATAATTTCCATCCTGATTTATTTCTAGCACTGTTCACGTGCATATAAATATAATAATAATCCTTGCATTTGATATAGAGCCTTATCACATCTTCAAGGCATCTCAAAGCGCTTCACAGAATATACTGTAAAGTGAATTGACTGTACATTTTGTGGGCGAAACACGGCAGCCGATTGCGCGCAGCAGTGTCCCACAAACAGTCGTGGATTGAAGTGACCAAATTATTATTTATTTATCATTTTATTTTGAAACAATTTTATTTCATTTTATTATCAAATAAACCCAAGGTTGGCAGTACAGCATTTCTGGAAGTACCCAGTCCGGTTTAAGGTCTTTACAATGGGATCACCACCTGACTTTCTTTCTTGTGCTGTATAAATACTGTAGCCTGCATAGACATAGAGCCTATAGGTACAATCAAGTACAATCTACACATTGTCTCTCAAATGATTTGTTTCACAATGCAAATCATACTAGGTTTCTGACTTCTCTTTGGAATCTGATTTATTTGTAAAGCCTGTGCATTCTTATGAGCTCATATTCCTCTTGCTGCAGCTAATTTCAGCTAGAAATTGAAGAATTTCAGTCACTTTCAGTTGAAGATCTAGAATTGAAATAGTATAATGTCCAGAATGAGGCTCATAAAAGACTTAATTACTGTATGTAGAGCCTATAGAAGCTTATAAAAGCCTCATTCTGAGTTCCTGCCCAAGCGATTTTGGGATTCAATGGACAATTACAGTTCTCTTTCCTTCCTCCCACAGAGAAATTGAGTTAAAAGATAGACGTCGTCAATACCTAGATGGGGTTACAGCAGCCTTCTACATTTTTACTTGATTGTACCTATAGGCTCTACACACAGTAATTAAGACTTTTACAACATTTATATTTTGCTGCAAACTTCAGTTCCATGATGAGAAATCATGTTACAAGTTACTTTTGGGATTTGAGGCTGAGCAAATCAACTGTTGACAAGCCATTTTAAGTTGATCGCATTACAATATCAAATTTAACTTTGAATTTATCTTTTTAACTAAAATTCAAATTTTCTTACCAGTCACTTCATTACACCTTACACTTCAGTTTGTCCTGAATTCTTTCCCCTCTCTTCCCTTCTAATTATTAATATTGCTGCTTGCCCAGGCCAGCTCACCTCGTGCCCCGATCGATGCCTCTACCATATTGACTACTATGGCTTTATTTAATCAGGGATCACACCAGGATCATTTTTATAGGGTCATGAATACTTATTGGCAAACTAATTCCTGCTTATTTTTTATTTAAGAAAAATTATGTTGGGTGAGTATGTGCCCCTTTTGTAAATAATGAATAGATATTTGAGGTATAGTCGATTAAGTAATACAATTAAAATGATTACCCGCAAGAAGCCTTTTCACAATGTTGGATGTAATGCTTTTTCAGTGCGAATATTGAATCAATAATTTGGCTACCAGCGGCTTGCTATTTATATTCCGATTCAAATGCAAATTTGAAGCACGAAGTGTTGAGCTGTGATTGTGGTTGAATGATTATGGCAGCGTCACTAATTGGTGCAGAATTTTCACAGTTGATTTTTGTGTCTCTTCAGCAGCAATGCAGCAAGTACTGGAGAACCTCAATGAGTTTCCTGTGTCTACGGGAGCCAAGGAAATAGATCTCATCTTCCTCAAAGGAATAATGGAGAGTCCCATTGTCCGATCTCTTGCCAAGGTACAGTATTTGACTTGTTCTTCTTTATATTGTCTTGTGTGATGACATTTACTTTTCAATGTAAGTATCCCAGGGAATGAATTTCAACTCAATGGTTAAATTCTACAGATTAAATGGGATTAATAACAGTTTGAAATGTGGCCATGTTTGGCTGGAAAACTATGTTGTCTCTGCATGCTATTAGCACTGATTTTACACCAGTCAATAATTTGCCTCATTTTGCGGTGTTATTTTCTTTTATATAATAATCCTTGCATTTGATATAGCACCTTACCACGTCATTGAGACCCCTCAAAGCGCTTCACAGGATTTTACTGTAAAGTAAATTGATTGTATTTTGGGAGTCTTGAAATGATGAAAAGAAAAATACTTGCAATTGATGTAGAGCCTTATCATGTCATCAATGTCTCAAAGCGCTTCATAAGATTTTACTGTGAAGTGTAGTGACTGTATTTGTAGGCAAACACAGCAGTTAATTTGAGCAGGGTAATGCCCCACAAACAGCAATGAAGTGAATGACCAATTTTATCTGGGGAATTGTTGCCCAGGACTCGAGGAGAAACTTCCTTTACGTTCCTCCATTTTGTCTTATGTCTATTTCTTTACTTTATTGATCTTAATTTTTAAATTTTTTCCATCCTTCGGATGAGACGATAAACTGAGGCCCCATCTGCTTGTTTAGGTGGATGTTAAAGATCCCCATGGCACGAGTTTCGCCCAGTGACCTGACCAACAATCCCTCAAATAAAATTGGTCACTCACTCCATGGCTGTTTGTGGGATGTTGCTGTGCCCAACTGGCTGTTGCGTTTTGCCTGCAAAATACATAGTATATCCTGTGAAACGCTTTGAGATGTCTCAACGATGTTATAAGACCCTATATCAAATGCAAGCATTGTTATTATTTTGTTATCTCACCTTTTTCTCTCCTTCCCTTCTCATGTTGCTGATATCAGGTTTTTTTTTACTTCCCCTACCTGCATGTCTTGGATCAGCTCAGTGATGTAGGTGATATAGACATATTGCTACAGTGCCTACACAACAGATGCTACCTCTCTCACACATCAAGACTTTTGCTTAAATATAGTGCCATAGTGTTTGTTTAATGATTACAAATGACAGCAATGCCACAGTTTTCTGTTTTACAGTTCCAGCCAATTTTTGCACAAATTATTTCGAAAATACACTTGCACATACAACACGTAGAAGAATGAATATTCATGACGAATGTATATTCATGAAGAATGAATATTGTCATGTTTAAAATGCAAGTTGTCTCGAAGCACTTCAAACAAACCAAATTACATTCGTATAGCGCCTTTCACACTGGGAGGATGACCCAAAGCGCTGGACAGTCAGTGTTTCCGACCCGAGCAGGGGGTCAGGATTGGGGAGGGTGGAGGGCAGGGCAGGAAGGAGGGTGACCAAAGACACGGTTGAAGAGGAAGGTCTTGAAGGAGGCGAGGGAGGGAGCAAGGCGGAGGGACTGTGGGATGGAGTTCCAGAGGGTGGGGGCAAAGTGGCTGAAGACCTGCCCGCCAATGGTGGGGCGAGTGAAACGGGACTTGAAGCAGTCCAGAGCCTGCTGAGCAGAGGGAGTGGGCAGGATGGTAAGGGGTTTGGAGGTCGCAGAGGTAGGGCGGAGCAAGACCGTGAAGGGCTTTGAAGGTGAGAACCAGGATCTTGAACTGTATCCTCTGTGTGATGGGAAGCCGGTGGAGTCGGGCGAGGATGGGGGTGATAGGGACACGGAGCCTGGTGCGGGAGAGGACATAGGCTGCAGAGTTCTGGATGATCTGCAGCCTTTGGAGGGAGGAGTTGAGAAGGCCGACAAGCGGGGAGTTTGCATAGTCAATCCTCGATGTTATGGATGCGTGTTTGGGGGTTTCGGTGGCCTGCGGTGTGAGACAGTGGAGGAGCTGGGCGATATTACAGAGGTGGGGGAAGGCAGAGCGGTACATGGCATGGATGTGGGGTAGAAAGGATAGTTGAGGGTCAAACAAAACACCAAGGTTCCCAGCTGGCTCAGTGAGGTGGAGTGTGCCACCATGGATGGTGATGCTGTCAGCGCCTGAGGTGTGGAGGGAGATATTGGGGTCACTGAGCAGGGTAGGTAGGAAAGTTTTTTTTTATAAGCTGGTGATCAACGATACTGTTAGCGAGAATGGATTTTTAAGAGGTAAAGGATTCTGTGAGAAAGTGCCAGAGACCAAGGGCAAAGTGCATAAACCGACAGTTTTTGCAAGCTGACCAGCATCTTTGTGTATTCTTGTAGTGTGTAATTTAAAAGTGTACAAGCTGTGAACACGTTGATATCCTTGCATTTGATATAGCGCTTTTCACGTCTTCTCGACGTCTCAAAGCGCTTCACAGAATATACTGTAAAACGCGGCAGCCAATTGCGCACAGCAGTGTCCCACAAACAGTCATGGACTGAAAATGACCAATTTATTATTGTTTTGCTTTGAAGAGATAATTATTAGGCATGTGGAGTAAGGAAACTTGCCCAAGGTTTCGCCCTGCCTGGAATTGAACCCAGGTGTTTTGCTTGCAAAGCGAGTGCTCTAACCACTGAGCTACAGGACTCCACTGTTCTATCACACCAAGCAGTGTGATTACATATTGCAGTTAGGCAATTTCCAGGGTACATTTTGCACTCTTAGGTTCATAGATCCACCCATGTGCAAGTGTGACATAGGTTTTCACATATGAGGGATAATATGTGGGTGTAATCAATTGTAAATTACAAATTGTATATAGGAAGGAGCAGTTTAATGGCCTAATCTCCATTTGTTTTGTACGGGTATTAATCAATTTATTCATTTTTGGTAAATTTATTCTTTTCCGCTCATCATTCTTCCCTGGACAGGAGGATAAACTACTGCTGACAATGCAGCTAAGGAACTTACACTTAAATAGCATCCTTTTTTCAGTCTCGATTCTATTCACAATGATGGAGAATCACCGTTAGCAGGAAGGAAAGTTGAGGGAATCTGGGTTAAAGGCATATTCAAAAAGATTAGTTTTTGCAGTGGATTTGATGGTAGGGAGGATAGGTGCAAAGTGCTGGGATTTTGGGAGAGAGATCCAGAGATTGAGGGAATAAGGAACAAAACAGCAGAATGGTGTTGGAGCATTGGAAGTCCTGGCCAGGAGAATAGAGCTGGAGGAGATTGCAAAGGTAGGGAGGGGGCAACATTGTGAAGATATTTGAAGGCCAGGACATGAACTTTGAAATCAATGTGCTGGTACACTGGTGGCCAAAGTAGAGGGTAGCGAATTGGGGCTGATGCATCCAGGGAGTTGGCAAGAGTGGATTCCTTCCTCTCCACCAACTCCCCACAATTCACTAGAATTATCATAAAATGTCTGAGGGATCATTCAGAATTAAATCTGAGTTTAAATGATAGTCTTGCCAATTGTGTCGCTAAATTGCCATGTCACTGAGGTCAGCCTGACTGTCTTTCACTAAAGGTTCCCAACCAGTGAGTGCATTCCAGCCCTTAACAGCTGAAGCATTCACTTAATCAAACTTGGCAAAGTCCCTTCCATCTTGTCTTGTGTATGTGGATTAATAGCGTGATATTCTGGAGTTTCCTACTCTAAAGTGTAAAACCATGGCCGAACAGGATTTTAAAGTTGTTAATGCTTGATGGCTGCCATCTGACACAGCAATTTTTAAAAATCCTTACATTTGCTATCGCGCTTTTCATGTCACGAGGATACCTTAAAACGCTTCACAGGATATACAGTAAAGTGTAGTGACTGTGTGTTTTCTCGGCATAATCAATGCAAACTGCTTACAGATCTGCATCTGAACAGCTTTCTTCTGGAAAGCCAGGTTTGTGGTGAAGAGATTAAAACGAAAATTTTCTCACTTGGTTGGTGAATTTTCAAGACTGTTTTTCAACATTAAATATATTAAACATTACTATATTAAGTCTATCCATTTGCAAAGAGTCTGATCATGTTGCTCGATGAATTCAGTACTCGGTAATTCCTCCAACTTTCTTTTAAACAGATAGCTGTAGGTGAAATAAAAGTTCTGAACTCACCTGGAGTTTTCAGCAGGGGTTATTTAGATAGCCACCTGAAGCAGGAACCCTGGTGCCTCCCCATTTCTATTCCCAGGGGCATGAATACCAATGGTAGCAAACCCAGTGTTGAACTGTGTGAAAACCACTAACTCAGCAAACACCAGCAATTGCTCCTTAGGATTGTTTCATGCCAATCAAAGGCTTTTGCCAACTTAGCCATCTGTGAAGCTGGTAATTTCATCTGTTTAGGACCTATCAATTGGCAAGGAGTCTAAGCATTTACAATCCACAAGTCCCATATTCATACGGTATGTGCCCCGTGTTCAGATGGTAAAATTTAATTTTTCTGTCACTGTTTTAAATACCAGTGAAACGCAGCTGGGCGTCCAAGTGCATTCGCTGTGTGTTGCGTAGCTCTGCAGCTGGTGCCTAACTGTTTGGCTGTGGTACAGTGTATGCCAACTGTTCCCATTCTGTGAAGCTGAGTGCGGAGGAGAAGAACAAGCTTTTTGTTTATTTCCCCACTCTGCCCCTTCCTCTGTAGAATTACATTTTGCCTCCCATTTCTGTATCTGTTTTTTGCGTTTTTACTTCAAGCTGGTCTCTGCTGGGGTGGGACTGACGGTAGTGGGGTGGTCTCTGTTAGGGTGAGGCTGTGGGGGGAGTGTTAGGGTGAGACTGGGGGTCTCTGTTGAGGTGAGGCTGTTGGTGGTCTCTGTTGGGGTAAGGCCGTGGGGAGGGTCTCTGTTGGGGTGAAGCTGGAGGGAGTATATAATAAAGAGTGGCTGCAGCTTTTTTTACTTTTTTAAATAGCTACTTAAAATTTTATTTAGGAGGTTTGAAGGATATGTCAATGAAGATACTTTTAACAGGTAGTATGGTCTTCACTGGGCAAGCAGCTGGGAGCTTGCCAGACAGTGCGTTCAATAGAAAGCTATGTGGTTAAACTCCCAATATTTAAATC